ACAAGGGAGATACGAGGATAGGTAAGATACCTAAAAAATTAGCTAGCATTTGTTGCCCTCAACGCAGAGAAATTAAAGCAGATACCTTAAAAGCAACTGAGGCCAATAGGAGAAGGGGACCAGGACCTAGAGAAAAGGTGAGATCAAAAAGAATTAACCTAGAAGGTAACACCCACGCACAGGAAATCAATGTGAGTCAATGCCCTGTATAGCTATCCTTATCTCAACCAGCAAAACCCCTGTTCCTTCCTATTATTGCTTATACTCTCTCTTCAACAAAATTAGAGATAAGGGCAAAATAGTTTCTGCTGGGTATTGGGGGGGGGAGGGAGGGGGGGGAGTGGGTGGTAAGGGAGGGGGTGGGGGCAGGGGGGAGAAATGAACCAAGCCTTGTATGCACATATGAATAAAAAAAAAGATTTGGTGTTATAGTGCTAAGTTTATCAATATAGGGGAAATGCTTACATTATAGTAGACTTTCCTTCATCTCCAGCAAGACTCCTATGAAGATGAGATCTTGATTGCCTTTTTTTCTTTCAAGTCCTTAAATGATTTGTTGAACCAAAAGTGAAGTAGTGTTGTAATTTGAGGTTACTTGGTACTAGAAGAAGGAATAACTAGGGATCAAGGTGGTTAGCGTCAGGAGACTGGGTCAGAATAAGCGAGTGTCATCATCTTGTTTATTCTAGGGGCAGATTGGTGAGGACCCTGAAGACCTGTCTGCTCTCATAGTCGTGGGTTAACATTTTATCTTTCATCTTCAGGTTGTCATAGTGTACATGTGTATTTACTTCATGTGTCCCGTGCTCCATCCCATACCTGCTCTGCTCCCAGAGCAGCCACAGCTAATGAGCTTTATCTGGTTTTACATCTTTTGGTAGGTGCTGCCAAGTTTTTAGCTGATTACTTTGTCAATGTCACAATTATCTCCTGACTTCCACCATGCTGGACAAGAATACAGCTCATCTCATTTTCTTGCATCCATTTTTGATAGTGTGTCACAGTTTTCAGCTCCTTTGTTTTTACCTTCATAAGTGTGTTTACATCCTGATCTCACCCAGGCCTCTGCCTCCTGTCTATGTTCTTCTTTATAAAAGGAAGCAGTGGGGACCTGCTTCTCTCTGTTCTCCTTCAGAGGTGGGCTGTTCTTCCTTTGTGTTAGCATCAGCATAGCTTTGCTCTTCAGCGTACATGTCTTTTCTGACTTTGTCCACAAGTTGATTCTGAAAGTGCCAAGAATGTTTGCAACAATGTAAACATGCTCACCCAGGGCTGGATGGGCCCTGACTCCCGTTGGGAGCTGTCCTAGCTTCCCTGGTTGCTCGGCACCGCGCAGATTCCTCCGCTTTGTCTTTCTGGTCTCAAGCACTCTTCATTTTGTTAAGACTAGACCAGATGATGCCTGCTCACCTTACAGACGTTTCCCAGCTGCTGCCTCATTTCGTTTCCAGTCTGTTGCTTCTTTGTGATGACCTTCGCACATTCCACTCTGGCCTGTTCTGACTTCTCTGTCCGCCCCAGGTGAGTAGTTTAGTCTGACATCCTCAGGTTCCCGAGTCAGCCCCGTTCTTGCGCCACATCTTCCTCCTCTGAGTCACTTCTTCAGAGTGCTGTGTGGGAGATGGCAACTGAGTTGCCTCCTACTCCATTGAGAATTCTAGGGCAAGATAGTTTTCATGTAGAATTTTGAAGACCCCACTCCACTGTCCTCATGGGTCACTGCCATCTTCCTGACACCTGTCAGCCTCTTCTGATGAGCCACCCTCTGTAACCTTCTTTGAGGGTTTAGGATATTTACTCTTCGAACTTGTGAATTTTTGTCGTGAATTATTCTTTGTGAAACTTCAAATTTTTTTACTATACTGAGTGAGTTGATCTGTTGCTTATATTTTAGGTCTTTTCTTTTTGCTCTTTGTTCTATAAGAATGCCTCTACTTTGTCTTTCAGTCCTTTCTTGACTTTCTTGATTTAGGGAGGAAGGACTAGAGAGGCAAAAATATGTTTAATTTGCATGAATGTGTCTTTTTTCTGTAATTGTCCCTTTTTTTGTAGTTTCCTATTCTTTTTGACAGTTCTGGGGTTTGAACTCAAGGTTTCACACTTGCTAGGCAGGTGCTCTACCACCTGAGCCGGGTCTCCAGCCCTTTTTTCTCTGGTTATTTTGGAGATCGGGTCTCGCTTTTTACCCAGTCTGGACTAAACCTTGATCCTCATATTTTAAGGTTTTTTTTTTTACTAGCTGGGAGGATAGGTGTGTGCCACAATGCCCCTCTTTTTTGTGTTGAGATGAGGTCTTGAAAACTTTTTTTCCTGGGCTGGTCTGGAACTGATCTCAGCCTCCCAGCTAGCTAGGATTACAGGAGTGAGCTTCCAGGGTCCATCTCCTATTCTTTTAAAATTTTCTTTTGCCACCCCCCCCCACCCCGCCCCAAACTTTCTTTGCTCCAGTGACCTTTTTCTTTCTCATGCTGCAGGTCAGTGGGGCATGTGGAATCCTGTGCAAGGCTAGGCCTTTACCTGGGAGGCTTTGCTTTATGCTATGCTGACCAGGCCAGGGCCTCCTTTGCTACCCAGACTCCCCGCACTTCTGCCTGGCTCCAGCCCTCTGCCAGCAGCTTGCTCACCAGGGTTGGTCTAGGTGTTTTACTTTTCATCTGGATATAAATACATATGTGTCTAAGGCCCATACTGAGTATCAAAAACAACATAGCCAAGGCTGGGGGTGGAGAGGGATTCAGGGGCAGGGGCGGGTGGAGCTGTCTCAAACTTGCATTGTGAAAGAATTATTAGCAGCTTCCTTCACTTTCTCTGTTCTGGAAATTTATTGAAATCGCTTCTGCTAATAGCTCTTCCTCTCATCCTATGATAGTGTCGTGTGTGGATTTTTATTTCTTTTTTTTTTTTTTTTTGGTTGTATGGTTGGTCTGGGTTTTATTTGTTTGGATTTGGTTTGTTAGCCCAGGCTGGCCTGAAACTCATAACCCTCCTATTTCAGCCTCCAGAGTGCTGAGATTGCAGAGGTGTACCACCACACTTGGTTTCCTTTCTTGTTTTAAAGAAATATCTTTAAATATCCCTCCCTCCCTCCCCTCCTCCCTCCCTGTATTTAGTGCACGGGAATTCCGGTCTTAGTATGAAACGCACTTCTTACTGTGAGCCTTGAAAGCTGAAAGGACACTTCCCTGGAGAGGGAGCGGAGCTGGGTAAAGGAGGAAAACCAGCTTTGCCAATGCAGCTGGTTACCCAGGTCACAGGCTTCTCTTTCTCGTTTCTACCCTCTTCTGTTGTCCTAAGTGATCTTCATGAAGTATCTGGGGAGTTGCTGCTGTCCACATGTGGGGATGGCGCCTCAGTGTAAGGCAGGCAGTGAGTCCTAGCTGCACCCTCAAGCTAGGTGGCATTTCAGCTCTATGCTGTGCAGAACATCTGACTTGAGCCACAAATGCAGTTTTATTTCCTGGTTGCCCCTGTGTAATGAGCTAAACAGTGTGTCTTGCTTATCAGGTTACTAGCATATCAGTGTATCATCAATGTAAAATATGATTAAAGTAAAATTATGCTTGGTTTCTAGAGAGAACATGAGTACTCAAGCTGGGCATCCACATTGCCAGTGTGCAGTGTCACCTGGCTCATGGTCACCACACTGTACACTACAGCTCTGACTCTCCTGTGTGCCTGCTGCAGGACAGAGGACCCCACACAGCCCCTTCCTGTGGTGCAGGGACACAAGCACCCACTGAGTGCCAGGCTGGTTGGAGGCACTTTGTAGAGCTGCCGCCCTTATCCACAGCTTCAGTAGCCCTTGATCACGTGTGGCCCAAAATATCAAATGGAAACATACAATTTATAAGCTTTAAATCTTGTGCTATTCTGCGTGACACAGTGAAAACCTGTGTCATCTGCTTGTCCCTTCTGTCTGTGACTTTTCTGTGAAATTATGAGGAAGGAAAAGGAAACTTGAGCCAGTTTTGCTGCCACACCACAGCCTGCCAAATGGGCAGCACAGTGCATGCTGGTGCTGAGTTAGGATGAAGAGGCATTAAGAGGTGATGTGAGTGTGTGCGTCAAGGACATGTTGCACATGTGGGCTTCATGGCCTCTGCATCCTCTGGGCTCTTGGAACGAGTTCTCTGTGGGTAAGGGGACTCATGTGTGCTCTACTTTGCTTCATCCTCAAAGCAGCCCTCTAAAATGGGTGATGGCTTGTTCATTTTATCAGTGACAAAATGTGGCCCAAATTGTTTAGGTGACCTGATCCGGGATGTGGTGGACTGCACTGGGTGTGCCTGCTCTTCCATGTGGACACCTGGCTGCCACAGCACACCCAGAAAGTCACCTCAGAGGGCATTTGTCATAGCACCAGTGTGTATGGACAAGGGCTACAAAACTCTGGGAATTCCCAGAACTGTGGTCTGGGAATTAATAACTGTGTTTGGATGATGGGAACACATTTTAAAACGTGACTCAAACCGTATAGATGGGATTAGGGCAGTGAGAAAGGCCCCACAGTTCCAGACCCCAGAGTTGAGCACTGTTTTCGGTTTGGTGTGTTTGTCTCTGCGTTTTTTTTCCTGTGTACACAGACTCTTTGCCCCACCCCATCCCTGAAAAATGGTGCAAAGCCATTGATGTTGCTTTGCAACTCATCTCCCATTCCCACTTTAGGGTATCAGGACAGCTTTCCCTGTGCAGTTCACCTCAACCGGGTGGTGCTGTTCCACTCTTACCCACAAGGGAGCAGAGGCCCAGACAGATGGTAGCGGCAGACATTTCACACCCACCTGCGTTGGTCCACAGCCAGCCTGATTGAACCTTCACATCTGCCCTCCTGCTCTTTCTGCCAATTGTGCCTTTCTCGATTAACCTGCCAAGATTTGGAGCCATAGTGATTCCTAGTCATATCTGAAACTGGCTTCTGTCTTCTTTCTTGGTGTCTTTCTCCCCAGTGTTGTTGGATTTTTCTTTATTTTTGGTGAGATGCATTTCTCTCCTCTTTGCAGTTCCCAGCGATCTGACGGCAGAGGAGCGTCAAGAATTGGAGAACATCAGGCGGAGGAAGCGGGAACTGCTGGCTGACATTCAGGTAGGAGAGCATGGAGATAGGAGGATGGCTGGAGGTGGACCGATGCGCTCCAGTTGTGCAGTTGTGCGTGGCCTTCATAGAGTGTCCTCCACACGTTTGGTCTGCACTTGCTAAAACTCAACAGTGTAGGTATAGGTGATCACCTTTGATTTACACTGAGAAAGCGGGTCTCAGAGAGACTGATGACTTGTAAAGTCACCCTCCCCCTTGCCAGTTGTCAGAGCAGGGGTGACCCTGAAGCAGAGTCCTCCTGGCTTGTGCAATCATAGTGGCCAAGGCGGTTGGGTAGAATATCACCGTAAGCAAGGTGTGTTGGCCCTACACACAGGTCCTGGCTCTGCCACTTGCCCACTGAGGGACTTTAGATGGAGCTTTGGTTCTTTGCGCTTCAGTTTCTTAGATGTAGGACAAGAGTGATAACACCTTCACAAGTTGTTTTAAGGATTGAACAAGCTGGCATTAGGAAGGACTTAGCATATTTCTGGTCTCTTAGAGATACTTAGTGGTGATAATAATTTTATTGTTTTCCCAAGTTCCTTTTCAAAACTGCCAAGCTTTATAGGTAGCAAGTCAAAATAATCCAAGTCATGCACTGGATTATTTTAGCCCATAAGTAGCAAATGTTACTAGAATTCTTTGTAAAACTTCAGGGGTGGGATAAAGGAGGGGCCTGAAAACCCATGAAGGTGTAGTGTGAGGGGAAAGAAACTTGATTGCTCTGGGTAATCTGAGAGTGTCTCAGTGGTTTGCCATGATTCTTTGGTTCCTGTTCCCCTGGTAAGTGCCAGGGGAGTGGATCTGTCCTCGCTGGGCCCTTTTGTTGCTGAAAGGCCGTGCAGTAAGAAGGGGAAGGTGGTGGGTAGACAGTGGATGTGGTCCAGGGGTGAATGGACAGTGGATGTGGTCGGACTTTCTCTTTGGCAGCCACGGAACAGCAGTGTAGATTCAGCTCAGCCTCTACTGGCCCAGCTGCCAGGCAAGTGGTTTCGAGAGTGTGCCCATGACCTTTTGTCACACTTGTATTTGGCAAGCTGCAGATTTGTTCTGAAGGTGAATCTGCACTTTTTACGTACGACTGGTGCTTGTGAACTTCTTCCCTGGCCCATGAACTCTGAGGCGAGGAGTTACCTTTTTCATCTTTTATAGTGCTAGAGTGCTTACTGTTTGGGAGGAGCCAAGTCGTATTTGTTGAGTACTCGAGTTTTCCTAATGTACTGTTTTGGACTTTGTCTTGTGCCTTAGTTGTTTCACTGTGCTCTGTTTTATGCCTCTTGGGTAGAGGGAGTCATAGGAGGCTTTAGAGGTGTCCCTTTGGTCTGTGTCTCCCCTCCTGGTAACTCCCTGTTCCTTTGCAGAGGCTGAAGGACGAGATAGCAGAAGTTGCTAATGAAATTGAAAGCCTGGGATCCACAGAGGAGAGGTGAGTCTGTCCTGCTGTCTGCTGGGCCGTGGGGCTGTCCAGCCTCTCTGCACCCAGCTCTGAGCAGATAACAGATGACATGTATAAGGACAGAGTAGGTTCTCCACCCTTGCAGGTCGAGTGAGCAGAGACCTCACCCTCTGCCTCCAGCCTTCACTGCAGGGATCCTGAATAAAGGAGTCTTTTACATCTGTGAGAATAAACTAAAGAACTCCAGAGGTTCCAGGGAGCCTGGAACTGCTCTTCAAATTTTGTGTGAATTGCTGTACCTTCCCTGCTGCTGTCCACTGTGTTCGTCTGTTAAAGTTCTTTTTTGCTTCCGTAAAGGAAAAGCATAATGAACCCTGCCAGTACAGTTAAAGGGCTGGTGGGCCCAGCTATGTCAGGTATAATTGTGAGCTTACTTATGCCTGAGAAGAGAATGCAGAAATGAAACTGTAGTGTAAGATGACAAGGACTATTTCTGAGGGTTTTTCTTTTTCTTTTTTCAGTACTGGGGTTTGAACTCAGAGCTTCATACTAGGCAGGAGCACTACTGCTTGAGCCACACCTCCAGCCTTGGGTTTTTTCTTTTAATGACATGAAATGTTAGTGACTTTGAGAGTTTAGTTTTGAATGGGGTTCCCAGACCATTTTCTAACTGCTTAATGCAGTAAACGGGCTGTTTCCATTTCACCCGTGTCTGTATTTTTCTAAGCCTAAGCCTGCCTGTCTGGCTTCAGAAGACTATTTGATTTGCTGTTTTAAATTCATATTGGCAGTGCCTTTAAGCATGAGTGGAGCTGCAGGTTCCACAGAAAGTAGCTTGAGCATCCCTTTCAATTAAAAATTGTCACTTGTGTTTTGGGTTAAAGCTTTCTTTACATTAAAAAAAACCTGTAGCTCAAAAGAAATGGATGGGCCCTGGCTTGGTGGCTTATGCCTGTAATCCCATCTACTCAGGAGGTAGGGATGAGGAGGATCAAGGTTCAAGGGTGGCCTGTGCAAAAAGTTAGCAAGAGCTCATCTCAACAAAAAGCTGGGTTTGGCTGTGCACGTCTGTATCCCTTCCTACTTATGTCTGAGGCATAAACAGAAGAGCTGTGGTCCAGGCCAGCTTGGACAGAAAAATCCCCAGAACCCTATCTGAAAAATAACGAAGGGAGAAAAGGACTGGGGATGTGGCCAGAGTGGTAAAGTGCTTGCCTAACAAGCACAAAGCCCTAAATTCAAGTCCTTGTAACACCAAAAAAAAAAAAAAAAAGAAAAGCAAGCAAGAAAGAAGTGAATGAGTTAGACTAGCCCATCAAGATTTAAAGCTTCTTATGAAAGAGATGGACAAGCCAGTCACAGAGGAGGGGAAGTACTTCCAGTGTATCCAAGTAGATATATAACAACACATACAATAATTCAATGACAAAAAAAAAAGAGAGCCAAATAAAAGATGGGCAGAAATCCTTAATAGACATTTTACAAAATCTGTGTAATAGATGCTCATCATCAGTAGTTATGAGAGTACGCACCACCAAACTGCCATGACTGCAGCTTCACACCCACTGGGATGGGAGTGCTGCAGGATGAACAGTTTCTTAGAACATTAAATAGGTAGAAACCTGTGCCCAGCCAGCAATTCAACCGCCAGTTCACTCAAGAGAAGAAGCACATGCCCACAAAAAGACCTGTAAAGGCTGTTGATAGCATTCTTATTGAAAATGCTCAAACTGGAAACAGCCTACCTGCCTACCAACAGGTGACCAGGTAAATGGGCCGAGATCACTGACAGTTACCAGCCATACAGAGGAGAGAACCACTGGCCTGCAGCCGCCTGGCGGGTCCCACATGCTGTGCTGAGTTAGAGAAGTGGGTGTCCACTGAACTTCCATTCACAAGGCTCCGACACAGATAGAACTAAGCTGTGATGGCAGAACTCACAATGGTGACTTGCAGTGGGACAGCTGACCAAAATGGGACATGAGGGTACCTAGGGAAGATCGGAGCAGGCTGTAGTTGGAGTGGTGGCCACTTGTTAGAACTGTTGATTGCTTATGTAGAAATAGCTGTGGTTAATATTTTGGTTCATTTCCTTTCTGTGTATTTGATGTCTCAGACACATATCCAGAATTCAGGGCACCATTCACCTGACTTGTTCTGTGTGGGTTATCACAGAGCACCCACAGGAAACCCCAAGAGTCTGAGAAGTTAGGCAACTGGAGCGCTTGGCTTACCAGCATGAGAAGACTCGCCCCCAACAGCTGTGTCAGATGTTGGGAGGCAGGGAGCCATAATTCTGTTATTTATGTCTTAAAATGGTTTTCTAGTAGCAAATGTCCCAAAAGGGGAGCCGTTCTACAGACCCCAGCATCTGTCAGACAGGCTTTGCTCCTCGGGCAAGACCACATTCATTCTGATTTTCCTATGGGAGTGCCGTCTTGTTTTTAATCAAAGCATGATGCCACCATTTCATAGAGATGCCCTAAATTCTGTTTAACCAGTTTGCATGCTACAGGATTTCAGACTTCCTGTAGTTTACAGGCACCAGTTAACCAAGGTGATACTGTAGCAATCCCGTAGCCATTTTTGTTTGGGATTCCTATTGAGGGCTGCTCCTGTATGGAAGACAGGGACGGCCTCTTGGAGAAGTGGCTACCCTGGCTGAGCTGTGCTGCAGGTCTCAGTGCTGGCCAGGTGGAGATGTTAGCTGACCCATGGGAAACTGGTGAGTGTCCCGGGTGGTATAAGTGGTGATGTGAACTCGCAGAGGTCTGGGCTGTCTGTCCTTGGCATACTGGGAGCTACAGGAAGCCTTCAGCTAGGGAGCAGACCAAGGCACAGGACACTAATGATCCCTGCTGGCATGACCTAGCCTCTGTAGCACCCTACAGAAACTCACAAAGCAGCTGTGTCCTTGTGGCCTTTATTTGGAAATACACATCCAAGTAATCTTCATGGATTTAGAAAAAAAAAAAAAAAGATCAGACAAGCATTTAGATTCAACAAGAATTTCCAGAAACCTGGTCTTCTGGAAAGAAGTGAAACTACAAGTTCCCTTTTCCCACTGTGGCTGTTCCCACGAGACCTGGTCACCTCGTGTCCTGGGCTTCTGGCATCCTCAGGTTTCCCAAACCTCAAGACAGGAGCTTCTCCCCCCTCTGTACACTTAGAAGTAAAGATGTTCCGAACAAGTCTTTTGCTCTCTGAAACTGTAAAAGTACCGTTATCAACAGCAGTGGTTCCCAAATTTTAGGCAAATCAGAATTACTGGAGGAGGTTTTAAAAATACATATTCCTGGGCTGCACCCTGGAACTTCTGAGTGATTTAGCGGTTCAGGGGCTGCCATCAGAGCTGATGTTTGGGATTGGACGGAGCCAGAATTGGCTTCCATAGGTTCCAAGGGGCAGAGGGTGAGTGAGAACCAAGACATCCTATCTAATGTGTTCCCAGGCTGCTGGTTTGTGGACCATACTTTGTGAAGTTATCTGATGGCACAGTCAAGAAAACTGCTGCTCATTTGGGCAGTGTCTTAAAAAGTTAAATATAAAGCATCACCCATCCCTGAGTATCGCCCAAAGACATGAAAATACATGTCCACACAAGGAAGCGTACACAAATGGTGAGAGCAGCTTGTGCATAATGGCTCTGAACTACAAACAGTTTCAATGTTCATCTGGTGTACAGATAAATGGATGTGATATGTATGCATAGTGGAATATTGCTCAGCAGTAAAAAAGAATGTAGAACTGATGCATACCACACCATGGACAAACCTTGAAAACATGCTGGGGCTGGGGTGTAGTTCAGTAGTAGAGTGCTTGCCTACCACACAGAAAGGTCCAGAGAGAGAAAGAGAGAGAATGCAGAAAAAGTCCAGTGCTATGAAATGTTTGCTCATCTGAAATGTCCAGCATAGGCAAATCTATGGAGACAGAAGGTTGGTTGATAGTCGCCTGGGGATGGAAGTAGGAATGAAGGCTAACTGGAAATGGGTGTGAGCAATTTGTTGGGCTATTAAAAATGTTCTGAAATTTAATTATGATAATCAAAAGCTTACTAAAATACATACAAGTATATTCTTAAAATTGTATTATGTGACAAGTAAATTATGCTTTGATAAAGTTTTAAAAAATCATATAAAAAAAGAACACCACAGATGTAAGATAGAAGGAGAAAATGAGCTCCCAAAGTAGTCTCAGAAATCTCTCTGTGTCAGTGGCTACACATGGGCTGTATCCATCTCCCAGAACTCCTGCTCCCAGGACACTAATGGCTGTGGTGGTTGTCTTTCAGGAAAAACATGCAGAGGAACAAACAGGTAGCCATGGGCAGGAAGAAATTTAACATGGACCCTAAAAAGGTGAGTGAAAAGGAAGCAACAGAGTCCATTGACTTTAAGACAGGGCTTTTCTCAGATGGGACTCCAAAGGTGTTTTTCCTAGTTGCTATTTTCTAGAGCATACGTTATATGGTGAGCCCTGGTTGTCTTTAGTCTGGGGCCCGGGTTCCTATATTGCAGCGCACTGACCCTGGGTGTGCGGGGGCGAGTATTTATGAGATGCTTGCTCCATGGCGGGGGTCAGCACCCATGGTCGCCTCTGCCCTTCCTCCTGCCTCTAGCTCTTCCAGGCCAACATCATTGGTCTTTGTGATCTCTCTCCAGGGCATCCAGTTCTTAATAGAGAATGACCTGCTGAAGAACACTTGTGAAGACATCGCCCAGTTCTTGTACAAAGGGGAAGGGCTCAACAAAACAGCCATCGGTGACTACCTGGGGGAGAGGTAAGGCCTGGAGGACTCATGTCTGCCAGAGAGGTGATCAAGAATTACATGAAGAAATGAGCTTCTGGGGAGATTTTGGTCCTGAGGCAGCAGTGACCGCGCAGCTCTGCTGTTGAGCACAAGTGCTATGGGGAACAACAGCTAGTCTGCCCAGAGGACATGGGATCACCTTACTTATTTAGTCAGTAGACAGAGCAAGCCAGGTATCCTCCTGATTGTGAATGGCTGGGTTGGGAGACTGTGTAACCCTGGGACTCAAAATGGAAATAGCAGCCCCTGGGGACCGGAACAGTTCTTGGAGCTGGCGTCAGTGTCTGATTTGTGCCTCTTTCTGTCTGGTGTCTGCTCCTGGCAGAGATGAGTTTAACATCCAGGTCCTGCATGCGTTTGTGGAGCTGCACGAGTTCACTGACCTGAACCTCGTCCAGGCTTTGCGGTGCGTATCCTCAAGAGCAAGGCAGGCCCCATTGGCATGTCTGTCCATGTGCCACTTGACTGAGCTTGTGTCTCTGGGGATGGTTCACATGTCTTGAGGTGTGTTCGAGGGAAAAGACTGCACAGTCAGGGAAGCATGTGGTGACCAGCCCTGAGCAGATGGAGTACAAGGCTTCCTTGGGTGGGGACATCATGGGGTCTTAAGTCTTTGCTACTGTTCAGTCTCGAACCCTGTAATTTCTTGCCGTAAAATAGGTAGTGGTCTATTTCATTTCACTTGAGAAAGAAAAAAGTAAACCTTAGTTTTTTTACTAAATCTGTTATTTTGTGCCTTTTGAGAAGTTTTCCTTCTGTATTTTCACTGCTGTAGATACAAATAAGATCATTATTTGTGCTGTCTTTTAAATAGATGAAAGAAGGCAGAATCAAACCTATGGGTCAAGGTCTCTCTGTGACATACAGGGATCGGTTGGGTACGGTTTGACCTGCCACCCCATATGGAGTTTGTTTGCCTACATTTCAGTCCGGTATGTTGTTCTGAGAAGAGAAGTGTTCTTTGGAAGAGAGAGAGAATCTTTAATTTTCTTCAACACTTTACTTTCGATTAAGGTCACAGTGACAGGCAGTGGTTAAGTTTGCTTCTGCTCAGTAACTGTATCAGAAAACAAAGTCTTCTCATGCTTAACAATTCCCAGGCAAATGCATTATATCCCCAAGTTCTGAACCTGGTCCCTGTCTCCCCCTCAGGCAGTTCCTGTGGAGCTTTCGGCTCCCTGGGGAGGCCCAGAAGATTGACCGAATGATGGAGGCCTTCGCCCAGCGGTACTGTCAGTGCAACAATGGCGTGTTCCAGTCCACTGGTGAGTGAAGGGACACCTACCTGCAGGTTCTCCTAGGTTCTGTTCTTGGCACTGGATAATTTGTAGAGCAAGAGGGATGAGGTCATGTCTAGGGACACTTACTTAATAGTGTCCGTAATGTTTATCATAGTCAAAGGTTGGAAGTGGTCCAGAAGTCCAATACTAAGGCACGAGGAAGGATGAGGGTGTGATTCAGTGACAGAGCACTTGTCTAGCATGTACAAAGCCCTGGCTTCCATCCCCAGCAAGCACACACACACAAAAAATTCTAGTATCTCTGACATACTAACTTAAAAGTCATGCTCTAGACTGGGAACATAGTTTAACTGGCTAAACTGAAGCTGTGGGTTTAATCCCCAGTACTGCAAACAAAACAAAAAAAACCTGTCTGAGAAGTTGGGCACAGTGATGTGTGTTAATAGTTACTCAGGAGGCTCTCAAGTTTAAGACCAGCCTGGACTACACAGTAAGACTCTGTCACCAAAAAAAAGAAATCCTGTTTTTATAAAAAATTTTGTTGGGAAAATGAGATTAGGAAAAATATTGTTTGATTTCATTTTTGTTACAGTGTGTCTGTGAGATACATTTGTAATTTATCACACATAGGCATATTACTGTAGAAGAAATAAAACAAGGTATTACTAACTAGTAGGATTACAGGTCATTTGTATTTTCTCTTTTATACTTTGTACTGTTTTTCATATTTCTTACAGTGCTTGTGTTCTCCTTCTGAATCTGAAAAAAAAAATACTTTTTGTGCTTTCACAAGCCTTTCGCCTTTCAGCTAGCATATGCCTGAGAGCAAGTCTACATAGGGTCCATCCCACTTTTGTGGGAGCATGACTCAATATTTCTGATTTCATCTCTGCGTCCTGTCCTTCTGAGTGGGTTTCTGATCACCCCTCCACTTTTCTCTTCTCTAGACACTTGCTATGTCCTCTCCTTTGCCATCATAATGTTGAACACCAGCCTGCACAACCCCAATGTCAAAGACAAGACCACTGTGGAGAGGTTCATTGCCATGAATCGTGGCATCAATGACGGGGGAGACCTGCCTGAGGAGCTACTGCGGGTGAGCTTGCCAAAGAGGCTTCATTTCAGTGAGAGAGTTCCCTTGAAAGGAGATTGTTTTTGTAGGAGAAGAAAAAGATGTACAAGTTATCGGGTGCCTGCTCTATTCATTCATTTAATTATGTGTATTTCAGTAAGAAGTTGGTAGCAAAGCCCAGATAAGAATCAGCAGGGGAGAGCAGAGATGGTGTGTACTTCCTAGGCTCAGTCCTGCAGGGCACATGGTTTACTGTAGGCACAGAGTGAATGCTATGGAATGAGTACAGAGAAAGGTAGGAAGGAAAGACTCTTCTAGAATCAGAGACATGCAATGTCATCTTTTATCCCAGAATCTATATGAAAGCATTAAAAATGAGCCCTTTAAGATCCCAGAAGATGATGGAAATGACCTCACTCACACTTTCTTCAATCCAGACCGAGAAGGCTGGCTGCTGAAACTCGGTAAGTGACACCCCTGGTTTGGGACTCCTGCAGCAGAAACTCAAGAAGAAAGGTTGTGTAGGCACAGGCTCGTGGTATGGGGAAGGGGCAGGTTACAGGCATCCTGATGAGACTCCGCCATGGGATCTGCTGTAACAAAGGTCTGTGTCCAGAAAAGAAGTAACCTGCACAGCCAGTGCCCCACAGGCACAAGACCCCTGGGGACAGGCTTTGCTCTTATGAACATTGCCCTCTTAAATCGATGTCCAGGTTCTTTCAGGTAGCTCCCCGAGGCCCTCTACCCCCTTACCCTGGGTGGGTGACCAGCCATGTCCATCTTTCTACTTCCCATCCCAGATGTCCCTGGCGCTCCTGCCCCCAGCACATCATCACCTCCTCTGCATCTGGCTCCCACAGGCAGTGTGCATGGCAACCTAGAGCCCTTGGCTGCAACGCAATCCACAGCACTCTCACTCATTCTCCCCAGCGGCCTGCCCTTCCCGATCCCCATCAGCACATTAATGACTTTGTCATTCTGAGAAGTCAAAAGTGCCTTCCAAAGGGAGCTTGCATTGCTGAATTAATGGCCATGCATGGCGGGCAGGTGACAGAGCAGACAAATGGAGAAAATTGTTGGTCTCCATGCACATTCGTGTCCACATGTGATCATCTTGTCGGTTGTTCTAGCGCCTAGAGAGGTCTGTAGGCTCTGGACATAATGGTGTCTATTTCTTTCAGCCACAGAGAGCACGCTTCTGTATTCTTCTGTGTGGCTGTGACAAGTTGGGGCCCACCCACACTAGTAGGGGTGTCCTTTGGAACACCCCTCCTGTCCCATCTCCATTACTTGCCCCAGTGATTAGCAGCAATTGCTCTCTTGGCAGTTATGACACATCCAGGAAGGCTCAAACAGCATCTTTTATTATTGTTGACTGGTCCAGATGACATAGGGCTTGCATTTCCTATGACAAGCCCAAGTCCTTGTGTTTATACATAATGATAAGGCTTAATTCATTTGTGCCTTATATTTCTCTTGAATTGGCCAACATTTCATAAATCTTGAAGCCAGTAGAATCTTTGAAGTTAAGCTCTAAAGTTATTAACCCAGTGGGCAACCTGCTCTGAATCCTTTTTGCCAAACAGATAGTTAAAAAGAAATGCACTGGAAATTTTAAGTGTATCTAAGTTTCGATTTACTTCCCCCCCCACCCCCAGGGAAATTTGTTTAAATGCTAATTGTGAGTGTTAGCTTTGACAGCTCAGATACTAAAATTAGAACAAAGATTATCTTGATTCTTGCACCAGGATGACATGCAAATTCATGAAGCATCCCACATTTTTAAAAATAAAAAAATCTAAGCCAGGCATAATTGTCTGTGCCTGTAGTCCCAGCTACTCAGGGAGGCTGAGGCAGGCCAATCTCTTGAGCCCAGGAGCCCGATGCCGGTCTGGACAACACAGCAAGACCCTGCCTCAAAACAACAATTGTTTTTTTGTGTTTAGCTAAATATGGGACCTGTTTTTTGATCACTGAGTTACTTTTTCTAAACTCTTATAACGCATTTTCATTGTGGCACACTTAGAATCACCCCTGCGTGTGTGTGCTGCAGAAGGCAGAACTTCCAGCCGTCTTTGGTTGTGTGTGTATGTTCCTGTATGCATACAGTCATGACATGCGTATTCTTGTGTATACACATATCCATGTACACTCATGGTGCACGTGTGTGCATTCCTGCACACGCTTTAAAAAGTGACAGCCCTCCAAAGAAAGACATTTAATTCTCCCTGAAGTACTCTTCTTGCTCTTTGCTAATAAACTTTGGCCTTATAAAAGCAGATTTGTGGCATCATTGAGGCCAAGTTTTAGGTATTGTCTCAAATCTTGCCTTTGCCAAATGGGATGTGGCCTGTAAGATGAGACCACCACATAGCAATGGGAGATCATTTGCCCTTCAGCATTTTCAGGTTCAGCTCCTTCCCCAGGCAGACATGAATGTGACTGATACATGCGCTTGAAGATTAAGAAATCGGGTTTAATTTCTTTGTTTTAATTTTCTTTTCTCCCTCATTTGTATGTTTCCATGATTTTGGCTCTCCTTTTCCTTGCCCCAAACTCCAGGAGGTATGTAACCCCGCAACCTGCTCGCTCGCTCTGCTCAGGCCACTCTCATTGCTGCAGCGTTTTCTTATTTTGTTATTTTTGGTTATTTTGTTTTTTAATTGCTGGTGGTAGTGTTAATGCTGCTTCTAACTTACTGTACAGTCCCTAGGGAACTGGCTAGGCTGGGGTTTCGGAGCAATTCTGTTTTCCCGTGGTGGAGGAGGATGTAGTGCACCAGGCTGCTACAAAGATGCTGAATAACTGGACGGAACGCAGGAAGTGGAGGGGCTGCAGAGGCAGAGCGTGCTCCCCGCATGCCCATGAGATGATGGACCAGGCACACGCTGTGCTTGTTAAATTCGCATCCACCGCCCTGAGTCAGCTGGCTGAAAGCACGTTCTGAAGTGAGAAAGAGGAGGAAGGAGAAGTGAGGGGAAATTTTGACTTGCCAAAGCCATGGGCTCTAATTCCATGATGACAAGCAAATTCAGAAAATTAGATGACACTTAGGACTTCACCTTTGCTTGAAAAAGGAAAGTGGTATTTCCCAAACCCAAAATGATGCCAAGCTAAGTGTGTAAAACTTCAGAATCAGAAAACTCTATCTACAGTCTTTCGGTTCCATTTCCTGGGTATCAGGGAAGAAAGAGTCTTACAGTCCTGGCTCTTTTGTTTGTTTTCTTTTGGTTTTCACCCTCCTCATTTTCAATGAGTCATCCTTAAAACCCAAAAGTGGCCTCATAGTTATGTTGCTGGTTATCTGTCTACTCTCCATTTCCAAGAAAGGAGAAACATTTGGGGAGCCAAAGAACTCCCTAGGTCTGTGCCTAAGCAAGACCTGAGCAGAGCCACCCTGGAGAGAGCAACCAGCCAGACTGCTTGAATGGCTGGGAAGACAGCGTCTGGCCCTTCTGTCTAAGGGGGTCATAGGAGGGCATGAGAAGCCTGCAGAGGAAGGGGTCCTGTGAGTTCCACAGGGACTGTCCTAGGTGCACATTGACCTGTCTGCTTGTTCCATGTCTGTTTTTCTTTCCACGTGGAAGTGTTCCCTGTGGGCCCGCAGCGATGCTGGTGCTTCATGGTAGAGGGCTCTGTGACTCAGCAGAGTGTCCAGGGGAGATAACCAAGCTTCATAATCAGGCAGCTTTGCTTTTTCTCCTTGATTTCCTGCCATCTTGTTCCTTTCAGCATCTGACCCGCTTTTTCCTTCATTCTCTTAAGTCCCCAGTCATCCCAGGGTAGTGTCCTGTGACAGTGTGCATGGGAGGTCAGCATGGGTTGATCATCCCTGTGTGCCTGGGAGGCTGGAAGACGGAAGCCCTGACTGAATGGGGGTGGGGCATTCCTTTTTAAGAACAGATTGGCTCCAAGTCTGAATGTATTCCTTGTCTTCTTTCTCCTCCTCATTTGTTTTAATTTCTGCCCAGCCTTTCCTGTTTTCCACATGCATGTCATATTATCCATTTATGGGTTTTTCTTATTCATGACACATAATCTTTGGGGTGCTTACATAAAACAAATCACAGTGAAGAGGGGCAAGAAGCCTCACCGCTTTATGCCCACACTGGATGGGCACTGGCAGCAGGGGCTTGCTTGTGGCACACTCCCTCTGGTAACCTGGGTCTGTGTCATTTAGAATCTTACAGTTAATGATTGTCACCTAATCCCCCACTAGGGTTCAGACACCCAAGCAGAGCTATAAAATGGCCCTAAAGGCCCAAGTCCTATGCTCTTCTTCTTGCCCTTTTCTTCCCTTCCTGATACTGGCACATTCCTCCTAGGTTTTTCTGGGTGAGCCTGCAGGCAGGTCCTGACATTTGGAAAGGGTCCCTGGAGTGCTGTCCTCTGCTTGTCTCTTTGTGAGGAGGACAAGAGAGCTTGCATGACAGGGGTCCCTCAAGGCCTGCCCCCCCTAGAGATTAGAGAAGCCATGTTCTCTCAGGCTGATCCTAGCAAAGGTCAGGCACAGGGCTCAGGGTGTGATTGTGGAATGCCACAAGCGTTTCAGCGTGGGAAGGCCCAGGGGTAATTTTGGATGGCTCATGACCTGAGGTAAGTGGGGGGAAAGAGGAGCTCAGGCCATGATGCAGACAGGCTGTGGCTTCATTCAAATTGGGCACAGTTAAGCACATCCTTCCTTAGTATCAGACTCAGTGTAATTTTGCCACCCCCATATTTTGCTTATTTAATACTAAGAATACTAAAAGGGGTAAGGGAGGCATCACCAGCTCCCAGCCTCCACCATCAGTGCTCATCTTCCAGCTCTCATGGCCACCTCCTCTAACTCCTTACATCACCAGTGCAGGATGGGTCTGCAAGTGGAAAGGCTCCTGGGCTGACCTCCCAGACAAGCCAATTCTCTCCTGGTAAAGAATCCCACTTTGGTTCACACCCAGGACCCGGGAGATTTTGTTTTCAGGACACTAGCCCAGAGGGCTAATTGCCAGGGTAGAAATTCACTGTGGTCTGGAGGGTAGAGGGTCAAACTGTAGGAATTGGGTCCCACGTTCCAGGGAAACCACATTTGGATTTGAAGGGATCATGGCGCCTCACTTCCTATTTCCTCGATCCTGTCATTTCCCGGAGCCTTCTGAGGCACCTGGCTGGTGGCCAGCAGCAGCATAGCCTGCACTGGGTGCTGACCCTGCCCCTCCTCTTTTCCTTGCCTGTCTCTGCTGTGCAGGCTTCGGTGGCTTTTCTAGCCCAGGCTCACTTGCATTGCCTGTCATGATTGCCTGGGTTCTCCTCCCAACCCATGCTGTCGTCTTGCTGTCAAATTTCATCTCAGGGTATCATGGATGTGCTTGCTCTGCTCATACCATAGACTTCACTCTGTGAAAGATGCTTCTGTCTTGGCTGTGTCTTGTCACTGACATAGAGTTTGCCATGGTCTAAGTGTTTTGACACCCCGCCCCTCACCCTGCCCAAGAAGAGCTTTGTGTGTTGTGGCGCCTGCACTCGTCTTGGGTGTCCATCGTCCATGTGCGTCTCTTTTTGCTCCTCAGGTGGCAGGGTAAAGACCTGGAAGAGACGCTGGTTCATTCTGACCGACAACTGCCTGTACTACTTTGAATACACCACGGTGAGCACCTGCTTGTTGGCCTTAGGCAGGACGGGCTAGTCAGTCCTCTGTTTCTAAGCCATTCCAGCCAAACATGGTGAGAGGGGACACTGGAAAGACAGTCGAGTTCGTCTTTCTGCTTCCTGTGGGCTGGGGCGAAGTTGAAGCCAAATGGAGGAACTAAGGTAGCTCTCAGAATGGGAGCCCTTATTAGCATGTGGAGTGCCTTCCCTGAGCTGTGGCTCAGACCAGAATCTGGTGCAGAAGGGACAATAGACAGAAGGCCAGAGAAAAGAGGAGAAAGGACATTACACACAGTGTTAGGAGCTGGTCTGGAGCTGGGCTAAAAAGAATAAAGTCAGATCAGTTGCCAAGAAAGTTTGTATCCTACTGAAAAGGACATGAAAAGACAAAATAATCGTAGTTTGGGGAACTCAGGTCTGAAGTGGCAGAAGCACTGAAGGATTTAATGCAGAAGAAATAGCCCAAGGGGCAAAATACAAAGTGGAGGAAAAGGAAGTGACACAAGATGGAAAAGTTAAACTGAAATTCCCTGGAGTATAAGGAAATTGAGGTTTCCTTAAAGCCTGGACATTCCGTTGCTTTTCAGTCAGTGGGGGAGACTTAACAGCTGCCAGTGTGTCATGTACATCCATTTTGTAACAGTAGCCTTGAAAGTGAGACTTACACAATAAAACTCTTCAGAGCCCCTGTGAAGAAGACCCAAAAGCAGGCAGGTTGGGGTGGTGCTTAGACCAAGGCTCCTCGTACTGGTGACTTGGCACCCTTGAATTCCTGCCACACTTGGTCATTTAGAGTACAGGTTGGTCTGTGTGCACATTGGACTCCCAAGCCCTTGAAATAAACCAAGGCAACTGAGTGAGGAGCACTTGGCTTTTGTCCTCTGACTGGGTCTTCAGTGGGGAGGTTAAGGCTTGGAAGTCTCATTTGTCATACATGGAAACCAAAATGATGCTTAAGTAAAAATTCTGTGTTCTTCTGTATGTGAAGGACCCTGGAATGTAACGTGCCTGGACATGCTACTGCCCTTGAGGGGAGGTGGTCTCTGGGTTCAGACGTGGCATTGGTCTCATCCCTGGGAACAGGACACACGTGGCTGCTCACAGAGGGAGCGAGTGGTGACAGTGTCAGGAAATCCTGACACTGAAGCACTTGACCAGGGTTTTGTGTGTTATGGGGGCCACACTCATGCCATGCAAATTCTGCAACTGGCTTTGCTTTTTGAATTTAAAATCTTTTCAGATATTAGTGTAATAAAATCCAAGCATATAAAATAATAAAAAGAAAGACTGTCCTTGTTTCACCCCCAAGATACCACAACAAACAGTTTGATTATATCTTTTTGTTTTGTCACCCCCAAACCCTGTATTTTGCCTCTGTTCTTGAAGATGTCTATATTAGTAACATCTTTAACATCTTGTTTGGATTTTTTTTGTTCTGTGGGTGAAAATGAAACACACACATGCATCTAGGTGTTACACATCTAAGTCCTGGGCAGTCCCTTAGAATACTGCTAAACAACTCTGGAGTCTTGGGTCCTTCACAGAGCGGGCCATGGTGGGTCACCTTAGTCCAGACCAGCACTATCTGTTCACAGTCAGCATCTCAGCAGCAGTGGGAATGCAGAGATGAAAACCTTTCCTAAGAAGAGAGAAGGCTCAGCAGGGTAAAGATAGCAGAATTATCTGACGAGAGAATAAAAACCTAGTAGAAATAAGTGGGGGGAGTAGCAACCAGACACAGAAAGGGCCCAGTTGGTTCGCTGCCCTCTACACTGGCAGCAGAGAAGGAAGCAGCAGCACCAGGAGCAATGGAGGCCATCAGGGGAGGACATGCTTACTTGCTGCAATGGACCTCGTATTCAATTAGGAAATTGCCCGGATGCCACCGCACCCACTCCCAATAGGTACAGCCAGCCTGCCCTGGACGCTCACAGCCCCATGACAGCCGAGCTTGAGGAGTCCCAGATGAGCTGCGCCAGGACACCGTAGGAAGTGCTAGAGTGCAAAGCACCCATCCCTCCACTACCCACTACAAGCCATGGGGAGTGACTAGGGGGACACAGTGTCAGAGATTCTGGGGGAAGAGAGTCCGGAGTGCTCAGAGAGTGACCAGAACAAACTGAACAGGCAGAACCAGGAGGCTGGGACCCCAAGCCATCCTGAGCCAAAGCCGTGCATTTCTAACACAACTGTGTGGCTATAGAATTGTAACCTCCTCATTCACATATGAGTCAAACTTGAAGGAGTGGAACAGGTCAGCTGTAGATGCAGTCACTAGCCTGGAGGGAAGGCCTGAGCCTGCCACAGAGATTGTGTGTAAAAAAGACAAGTTCACAAAAGCAGAGAGAAGCGAACCTGCGGAGGACAGAAGACTAGCCCCAACATACTTGGTGGCTGCAAAATAAAGATAGGATGTGTCAGTTGGTTATTTCCTTGCAAAAAGGAGGAAAAAATAGCATCCTGCATCTGTGAATCAGAAGAGCAAGCTGGGCGCCAGGCCATTTCCTGCAGGAGCTGTGCAAGGTATTGAGCAGAGTCCTCCCCTCCTCACTGGAAAAAGCACATGGTCTCAGAGTCTCATGCCCGAGGTTGGTGGGTGAGCCCACGGTTCTGAAGGGGAGAGCCATCCAGGAGCCTTTGGTGCACAGCTGTAATCTCAGCACTCAGGAGACTGAAGCAGGAAGATCCTGGGCTACACAGTGACATCCAGTCCAGCCTGGTGACATAGTGAGAAAGAGGAAGTAGAAGATTTGATGTTGGGCATCGAATTCATTCAGTTAAGTATAGAACTGATGGCACAATACACTGAAATGTGGGACCCATGTGAAATAGCCCACACATACAGCTGTATATATGGAAATGTAAAACTGATACCAAATTTATAGAAATACAGAACCGCTGTCAAGTTCTCCTGCAATACAGAGCTGTATTCAGTAGTTCTGAATGCTAAAATATTTAGAAGTGATGCCTAAATGTAGAACTGTTACTGAGCTGTCCTGAGTTGCTGCTAAGTAGCTACAGGTTGTGGCTGCAGGTCAAAGTGGAGGTTGTGAACCTGGGCGATGTACAAATGAAGACGGCATCAAGAGCCAGGAGAAAGGAAGGAAGGAAGGTGCAAAGACGCTCAAGAAGGAGCCAGCAAGCACTGTTAAAGAATGACTTTTAAAAGAATGACTAAAAGGTCAAGCGTTTTTTTTTTGTTTTGTTTTGTTTAATTTGAATAAGGTCAATTTTGGGAACCATCTCTTGTGGCAAAAAAACATCTATTTTGAAGTTCAATACTTTTCAGTTTTTTCTTCTGTTAACTTCTGTATAATTAATAGGATATGTTTTATAAAAAATATCGTGCAAAATAGTCCATTTTCACAAAACCCATTTTTCTACCTTTTTGTACATATATAAAATAACTTCACCCCGTCAGCACTGATAATTTATTAGTGATTGGATTTGCAATTTTGTTAAACCTTTTCCCTTTTTTCTTTCCAACAATATTTTAAGTGCTCTTATATTGAGCTAATGTTATTTTTACAAAAACAATGGCCATTGCCCGTAAAGAAAGTCAAAGTAAGTCAAAGAAGACATTGTTAATTCTGTCCTTGTGGTGACCACAAGTGGCCAGTGGTGAGGGAAGCATGGCACATCTATTCCTAGACTTGGTGCAGTTATTTATTTCACTTTTGGTGCCGGGATGGAACATTCCAGGTACCTGCTCTCCTGCTGAGCCATGCCCCCAGCCCTGCCAGTCAGGTTAAAGTTTCAGGTAGGGGCCGTTTAATACTGGGGACTTCACATTGTTGCCAGGGAGCCTAACATTGAGGAGTTGGAATCAGCAATTCTAAGTGGTCTGCCTTCCACCTCCCGCGGGGTGAGTGTGCTCCTGAGGACATGGGTGGTTCACAGGGCGACTGTGAGGAGGAGAGCCAGAGGGCCATGTGGTGAGCAATGTGCTAGGATGGACAAGTGACATTGTCCCCAGTGGACTCCCCAGGTGGTTATATGGTTCTCCTTATGAGCTGGTCCCCACTCAAGGACAGAAGGCTATGCATGAGTCCTTCTGGTTTACAGTCACCTCACATCCAGACCGCCCATCCTGCGCCACACACTGTAACCCGATGTTTCAGGCCCCTGTCCAGGTGCGGGTGAGGTCACATCCTCACTTAGGGTTGCATTATGACAGCTCTTAGCCCACACAGGTGCACAGGCACCTGGTGACCACTCAACCCAGTTAAACAGCAGAATCCTCAAGAGGTTCAGGCACCAGAGAACCTAGAGAGCAGAGCGAGAAGGATGGAGGCTGTGGTAAGGGAGACTGACTGGACACTGGTGTGGGACAGCATGGCTAGCTCCTTCACTGCAGGTCCTGAGTGCCCCTGCAAGGGGCAGAAATCTGGGAACCTGTTCTTAGAGGGGAACACCATGGTCTCTGAGGGACACTCAGCACTGTCACATGTACATAGGATTAGGTAAACTGGGGCACCTTCTCCCCACTGCCTCTAGCACACAGCGCCTTAGCTGTAACTTGTAGGCAAAGGGCAGACTGCTGTGCTACAAGAGGACAATAAAGATCCTAAGTAGATCCCCACAAACACTCACACTCCACAGCTCAGAAGCCCAGTCAGCTCTTAGTCCCCCATTCTTAAGTGACACAACCAGAGCCTCAGATGTTTGAGGCTTGAGCAGGTAGAGACCAAAGCACCAGGCAGTGAGTTGGGAGCTCTGCACGGAAAGGAAGCCTCTTGGAAATCAAAACAGTGCCAGACACAAAATCTCCATAAAGAGTTGGAAGAAAAGCATCAGGAAAATCTTTCAGGAAGAGTAAAATCTTTAAACTGATGGAAACTTATAGAGGAAAGGTTTTTTTTTTTTTTTTTTTTTTAAAGATGAACTAGTTCAGGAGTTTTCGCATGTACTGGAGAGGATGAAAGAGCAAAAAGGAGATGGTCCTTGACAAAATACTTGCCCTGCATAATGGCTGGAAATAAGTGCACACCAAGTCCATGTCCTTACGGAGTCTCGGGACACAGGAAGAAGAAACAGCATCAGCAGGCGGGATAACCTAGGACAGAGCAGTACTGAGAACTGAAGACTGGGGTGCCACGCTGCAGAATTCTGGAAGGTGGTATTTCCACCTAGACTGATGTACCCAGCCAAACTGTCAGTCAAGGAAAAGCACTCCCTGCCCAGTGAGATCTCAACAGTGGAACCCAACAACACCCCTCTCAGGACTCTGGTGGAGGATGTGTTCTGCCAACCTGAGGATACTCAGTAAACACTGGGAAAGCCTTGCTGTGGAATCGAGGCCTTGGGAGGGCAAGGGAGGGAAGAACAGTGAGCTCAAGGGTGATGAATTCCCTAGGCCTTAAGGCCGCATACTCGTCCAGAGTCAGAGTACAGCAGGTTACAGAGCTGCAGGAGAGAGTTCTGCCATGAAGCTGAAATTAGGAGGATTCCTGGCATGATTAGCAAAAGAAAGGAAGTATTGACGAGGTCAAACGTGCAGCTAATTTGGGTGGAAGGTTAACAGAAAAATAAGTAAAAGAAGCACCTCCCCTAATAAAAGGTGGCGGGGCAGGTAAAGCAGGCTGCTGCATGGCAGTGTGCAGAGCAAAGTGGGGCCCACAAAAGCCGTGTGAGAGCTAAGTGATTGCATCTTAAGATGTGAGCTTCAGAGGTAAATGACAAAAGAATTGGCTTAAAGAAGTTGAAAATCACTGCCATAGGGGATGAGGAAATGGCTGAAAGACTTTTACTTTTACAAAACTCATAGAACTGGTTGAATTTTCAGAACTATGCATATGTGACTGTTAGGGGTGAAGGCATGCCATGGCTGGCGCCTTTGCGGATGAGCGGGCAGCACTGAGAGGGCCAGTTGGGGTAGAGGCGAGGTGTGTAGTTCTTCTGGATCTGAGCTCAGGTGCCTTACAGACCCAGCTGGAGCTGTCAGGAAGGTAGGGTCTCCCTGAGTCTTGCAAATGCTGGCAGTGGGGGTGGACAGGAGTGAGGAAGACTGAGGGTTCCAGCCACAGGCGTAGGGGAGGAGTGCCTAGAGGGGGGCTGGGAAAGGCTTCCAAGAGTTAGTGACACAGAAACAAGGCTTAGAAGACAGGAGGAGAGCCACGCAAAGAAGTGAGGGAAGGGAGGAGGCCCTTTCTGGGGAAGGAGCTCATGCATTCACTGCCTGAGGCCCCTGCTGTGGTCATTGCCACATGCACTTTGATGGTACCTGCTGGACCTCCTGGCCTTCTGCCTGCAAAAGACCTTCAGTTCCAGGGTTCCTGTGTGCTGTGGAACATAAGGGTGGGCCAGAAGCAGAATACAAGCTTTGTGCCCAGGAGAAGATGCAGAGTGGGGATGGGTGGGGAGAATGGAAAGAACGTGCCCTCAACTGAGTTTGCCATCACCTGCCCCACAGGATAAGGAGCCTCGAGGCATCATTCCCTTAGAGAACCTCAGCATCCGGGAAGTGGAAGACTCCAAAAAGCCAGTGAGTATTTCTGGCCAGATATTCTGGGGGAGGAAGAGGATGTGGGCAGCAATGCTTTGAAAAAGGATGAACTCAAAAGATTTTTCAAGAAAAAAAGCACAAAGCCCAAAAAATACTATCATGCCTTTAATTTAGCCGAACTTAAGCTCAAGGTGGAACTCAACAGCCTTTGTTCTGTCTGCTTCAGTATCATTGTTGAGGGCCGATGGAGTGGCTCAGGTGATAAGAGCTCCTGCTTAGCAAGCAGCAAACGTGAGGCCCTGAGCTCAAACCCCAGTGCCACCAAAAAAAAAAAAAAAAATTCCAGAACAGTAGTAAACAACACCGTTGTTGACTGTCACATGAGGGCAGCAGCAAGCACCCATGACGCTGCTTGTTTGTACCCCTGCGACACCTCTGCTTTGGAATGTCATGATGTCACCAGGCTGGCTGTAGGAAGAGTTGGGTGACCTGCAGCTCTGTACATTTTTTCTTTGCTAGGAGTGGAGCTGGCATATGTCAGGCCAGCGTCTTGACTAAGAGGCCAGTGTGTGCACATTAACATGCTCCAGTGTTCTAGTCCAAGTTGCTTTTTCTCTTTTTTTGTTTTCTTTCTTTCTTTATTCCATTTTTTAAAAATTATTCATTTTTTCACATGTGCATACATTGTTTGGGTCATTTCTCCCCCCTACCCCCCTCCCTTACCCTCCCCCACCTCAGTTCCAGGCAGGTCCTGTTCTGCCTTTATCACTAATTTTGTTGAAGAAAAGACACAAGCCTAATAAGGAAGACAGAGCATTTTTGCTGATTGAGTTGAGAATAGCTATGCAGAGATACTCCTAGCATTGCCAAGCTGCTTTTTTTCTGAAGGACTAAATATATTGCCTGTCTTTTGTGAAATGAATTAACGTTTTCTTTAGTCAGCAGCTTTCTAAGATCTGTCCATCGTCCCTTCTCCATTTTAATCTCAGAACTGCTTTGAGCTTTACATCCCTGACAATAAAGATCAAGTCATTAAGGCCTGTAAGACCGAGGCTGACGGGCGAGTTGTAGAAGGGAACCACACTGTGTACCGGATTTCAGCCCCCACGCCTGAAGAAAAGGAGGAGTGGATCAAATGTATTAAGTAAGTAGCTTCTGCAGATGGGAGAGCTGGGTCTACCTGATGGTTCCTGTCACCGCTGCCCTGTGTCTCCACTGCTCCTAGTGTATTGTGGGCACCTAGGCATAGGATCATGCAGCCTGCCGGAAGTGTGAGCGCCCAAAAGCCAAGGTGGAGTCACCAAACATCCTGAAAATGAAAGCTTTCTTTTTTTTGTTTGTGTTTTTAGAGGCAGGAACTTGCTATGTAGCCCAGGCTGGCCTCAAACTCTTGGTCCTCCTGCTTTAGCTTCCCAAGTGCTGGGATTACAGGTGTGTGCTACCATAGCCAGCAAGGCAGATGTTTTGACTATCCAGTGGATGGTGAGCCCTCTTAAAGAAGTGTGGAAACATCACATTTGGTGAATCAGTTCCCAGTCAACTCACAAGAGCTGCAGTGGCTCCTGGCACATCACCCACCCAGCATAGTGCAGTGCCTATGTCATGTAGCTGGTGCGTGTGCTCAGAGCCAGCGTCGTGGAGAACACAGCTGCTCTGTAGAGTGGGTGCCAGAACGGGCCTGCCCTTCCTCCTTGGCCACCCTCTGTCTGCACCCCAAGCCCCAGTGGCACTGACCTTCATGGAGCTGGTGCACATGGGCTCAGACCATGACAGCCCCTGGAACACACTCATGGGGCAGTTGTGTGTGACATGTTTATAACATGGCACTCACAGTTGTGAAGGATAGTCACATGTCATTGAAACTGAAGTCCTATGTTTTGATTTTCTCCTTAGAATTAGGGTATGGCTGTGAGAATGTGTAATGTAAATTGACGGTTGGGTTGAAACAGGCGCTTGCACACATGCACACACACTCCGAGTTATCTGTCCCATGTCCCTGTGTGGCTTTCAAAGCGTGTCACCTTTAGCCTCTGTGTGGACACAGTGAGGGGTGACCACACTGATTTGGCCTTTTGGTGGCAGTTGAGCAGTTCAGGGCTCCTGGGGCTGCCCAGATCGGTCTCTCCGTGTCCCTGTCACTCATGTCTGTTCTCTCTCCTTTTCTGTGCTCAGAGCAGCCATCAGCAGGGACCCTTTCTATGAGATGCTTGCAGCGCGGAAAAAGAAGGTCTCCTCCACAAAGAGACACTGAGTGTGTGCCGGGCTCCAGCAGAGGCGCTGCTAAGCGAGTCCCCTCTACCTGCCCTGCCTGTCCCTACAGACTAGCTTCCACGTTAGCAGTTTTGTTAAGGGGAGAAGCAGCGGTATTGTGGGGTCAGGGAACTGATGTCTGCCTGGCCTGCACTCGAACCCCCCTCGCTCAGATCAGCTCCTGGCAGCAGATCTGCTCTAGCACGCCTCTGCTCAGCGGTTCGACAGCACAGCGGAGAGCCTGCTGTTTACCTCGTGTGGCCCAGTGAGGAGCTTCACCTTACACCGAAAATACCTGTGTGGACATGCTCTATAGCAAGAAGAAAGGCAGGAAGGAAGAGAAGCCACATACCATAAAGATTTATTTTTTCTTAAAAAAAGGAAAAAAAAAAAAAAAAAAAAAAGGAAAGCAGGTCTGCAGTCTGCCCTGCCTATGGGGAGCTCCCCTGGACCCTGGACAGGGGCCTCCAGGCTGCCAGGTGTCCTCCTGCCAGGGCCATCGACCACCTTGCCGCACCTTGGGAGCAGCTGGGAGCTGGCTTATGTGGACAAGAGGGGTGAAGGCAGGGTGGCAGGCAGGGGCACAGCAGGCACAGGGAGGTCTCAGTGGCAGTCAGGCTCCAGGCCCTCTGTGGTCCTCAGCCTGTGGTGGTCAGGAGGATTGCACACTGACTGGACACCTCCCTTGTCTCATTCTCAGAACTGAGGCCCACTGGGCTTTAAAGTAGGAAGTCAGCATTTTCCTTGAGCTAAATACCTAATAACCAAAACTGTGAGGAGGTTAACCCAGTGGGTCCCAGGATGGCCTCATGTCTCATGCCTGGTTTTCCTTTCTCTTCCCATAGCTCCGCTCCTCGTTCTAGAGGATGGAGCAGGGCTTTCCTCATCCCCGTGGGCGCCAGCTTTTCCTGCCTCAAAACCGGCCCTCGCTACACTTTTTGGTGCCTCTGTGGTGGCCTCCAGAGGGCAGGGGCCTTTGCTCAGCATGGTACCACGCCATGAGGTACCCCCTGTCTCCTTCCCCCAGGCACATGTGTGATGGCCCTGCCCTCCTAGCGTACCGTGTGGAGGGAGCCGCGAAGTGCAGCATTCTCCTGCCGTTCTCTCAGGGACTCTCAGGGCAGCTCCTGCCACTCAGCCAGGGCCAGCATGCCTGTCCAGGCAAGGCAGTGGGGCAGTGTTCCAACTGCCCCTCCCATGCCCAGGCCAGGCGGCAGGCACTGTCTCCAGGCTGTGGAGGAGTCATGGATCTCCACAGGCCATTTGGCCTTGGCTTTTCTCACCCAGTGAGGTAGGTTGGCATCTCTGGAAATAGCTTTGCAGGGGCGGGGGGAGGGGTTGCATTCTGGCCCCTCCTGTGGATCCTGCCTAGAGTGGCCTCAGGTGCTTTGTGGCCAAGCTTGTGAAGGTGACAGTGATGGAGTAGAGTCCAGGCTAGAAACCTGGCTTCCCCCGTGCAGAATCAGGCATTGTTAGCTCATGTCCAGGTGGTCACAGTGCCGGAAACCCACCCCAGCAGGCCTGGCCCTGGCCCTGGCCCTGGTTCTCACTAGGATTCCTGGGCAGAGAGGCACCTGGATCAGTATTAGTCTATTTATCAGAGGTGTACATAATCCATGTATAGTTTTTCTCCTCTTAGATTATTTTGTATTTGTTTAAAAAAAGATTTGTCAAAATATAAAGAAAGGACAGAAAGTTGTTGACAGGGTTTTTAAGAAATTATAATTATTATTACAGTTGTTTTTGTTTGGTTGGTTTTGCCTTGTAAACTAGCGCCAAGGAACTGCAGCAAATAAACTCCAAATTTGCCCAAACCATGTCTGTCTGTGGTTCTGCTGTGCCAGAGGTAATGGCCTTATATATAAAGTTCTAAGGAATCTGCAAAAAGACTGAGAGGTATGAATGCAGCAGGATTTACAGCACACACGCTCAGTGTGTAAAAGTCAGTGGTCTTTGAAGCACTAGCAACAAACAGCCCCCAAAAAGAAAGAAAACCATTCCATTTACAATAGCATCTGAAAAAACACAACGTTTAGGAATAAGTTTTCTCAAAGTACAAGATGTATGGTGAAAGCTATTTAAAAGATCACTGAAAGATATTAAAGGAGACCTAAATAAACATAAAGATTGCATTTATCAACAAGATGTAATATTAAGGTGATAATACTGGGCCAGGTGTGGTGGTTCACTTCTGTAATCCTAGCTTCTCAGGTGGCAGAGACAGGAGGATCTGCAGAGACAGGAGGATCTGCTTTGCAAGTGTGAAACCCAGTCCCATCAAAAGAGAAAACAATAGCCAAAAGACGGGTGTGGCTCAAATGGTAGTGTACTTGCTAGCAAGCTCAAGGCCCTGAGTTTAATCCCCAGTATCACAAAAAAAGAGATTACAATTACAATACTCAAATTCAGTGCAGTCTCTTCAAAATCCCAGCTGCCTTTTAGCAAAACTGAAAAGCCTGTCCTAAAATTCACACAGAAATGCAAGGGACCCAGGATCAATTCACATATTTATGCACTTGGTTTAAGCAGGGTGCTTCTCAACAAATAGTATTGGGATGTCTAAACATTCACATGCAAAAGGGGAAAGTTGGAAGCCAGGAGCAGGGGCTACTTGGGAGGTAGACATTGGGAGGAACATGGTTCAAGGCCGGCCTGGGTGAAAAGTTCGAGAGACCCCATCTCAAGCAGTGGCTGGAAGATTGTGATCCAGACTGACTCAGGGATAAAGCAAGACACTTTTTATTTTGGTGTTATCTCCAAAATAACACCAAAAAGGCTGGCAGAGTGGTTCGAATGGTAACGTACCTGCCTAGCAGTGCCAGGCCCTGAGTTCAGCCCTCCAGTAACACCAAAAAAAGGAATGAAGTTAGACCATTGTTACATCTACCCAAATATAAACCTTAAACAATAAAACTCTTCAAAGAAAAACATCCTCCTGACTCTAGATAGATCTGAGTATTCAGAAGGAAAACAGCTCAGGCTTGGTTTTTGCTGTAGGCATGCACGCTGATCACTTCTGATACCAGGTGTGTAGGATTTTCACACCTCGAACAAGCAGCTGGGTGCCCTGTAATCCACTTCAGCTCTGACACTATCTACCTGGAGCTGGTGTCAAATCCCACAGTTGGGGGCTCAGTCCCCAAGTCTGCCCCCGCTCCTACCACTTCAGATGCCAGTCACGGGCTCAGGTTGTTTCATCCATGCTTCTGACTGACTGGTGGCTGTAAATCAGAGTTCCCACACCCCCTCTTAGGGTTCAGTGAATTTCTTCTGACAGTGCTCAGGAAAGCACATTTGCTGGATCATTCTAACAGGCATGGGCGCCGTGTGGAAGAAGGATCCAGGTTTCCCTGCCCTCTCCTCTCCGCCTCCTCAGGAACGTCTGTGCGTTCAGCCATCAGAAGCTCCAGCCCTGGCCTTTTGGGGGTTGATGAGGACCTCACTGCGCGTCTGACGCCAATAGACTGGGTGGGGACCCCCAGCCAGGGCGCTGTTCAGAGTCTCCTTGGCCCCTGTGCTGCACTCCTTCCTCCCGGGTGTGGGGCGGGGCCCTCTGGAACGAGGAGGGTCTTAGGCCCCACTATCAACAAGGTCAGAATTACAAGCCAGGAACTGGATGAAAACCAAAACATAAATTTGACTTCATCAGAATGAAAACCTTCCGTGCTTTAAAGGCTCCCACCATGGCTCGGTAGTACTTATCCCTTCCAAAACACGTCGGAATTTTCTTATTATTTGTTTATTTGCAGTGCTGGGGATTGAACCCAGGCCATGCACATGCTGGGCAAGTGCTCTACCCCTGAGCTGCACCCCAGCCCTCCTGCTGGAATTCAATGGCCATGATAACAGTATTGGAGGTAGCTAGTGCCTTTATCATGAGGAGGGTGTTCGCTTCTGCTTGCTGTCTTTCCCACATCTAACCTGGCGTTATGGTTTGGACATGAAGTCCCCCAAAGGGTTCATGTGTTGGGGTTTGGTTTCCAGCTGGTGGCTTATTGTGAGAGGTTCTGGAAACTCTAGGAAGTGGGGCCTAGCTGGAGAAAGTAGGCTTCTGGGGCAATATCTTGTCCTGAGCCCCTCTTTGTCCCTCTCTCTCTCTGCTTCCTATCCTCTTAAGAGTCATCTCTGCCATACTCTTCTGCTGCCATGATGTTCTGACTCACCAGAGGCCCAGAATCAGCAAAGCCACGACTGTGGACTGACACCTCTGAAACCATGAGCAAAATGATTCTTCCCTTTAAGGTTTTCTCAGGTACTTTGTCTAGTTACTAAAAACTGCCTCACACACCTGTTAACTCTGGGTTCAGCAAACGGCCCCTGCCATGTGACTGACTTCAGGGGAGACCTCAGGTCCCGTGAGTGCATAGCAGGTCATTTGCACCGGATGTCAGAACAGAGATCCAGACAGAGACAGGAAACAGGCATAGACAAGACCAGCTGCAGCTGGGGCTGGGATCCATATCTCCCTTAATCTCAGCCTCTGCACTCTGCTCTGTGACATTTTATGAAATTTGCCTCTGTCCTTTTGGTTTAGGTCTTTATGAACATTCAGTCGAAACAAATCAGTTGATGCTTCCCACATGGCTGTACCTCAGCTCTCAGTTGTGCTCAGTGCTCATGGCCAATGTCACATTAATAAGTTAGCATGAAGTCTGTGACTGTTAAACACAGCATCCTTCATGATCTAAGCAAGACCCACATTCCAGGGTCTTTTTTTTCCCCTCACTTTTAACTCTCACAACAGCCCTGTAAGCTGGGCTGCTCATTCCCATAAACTGAGATGCCAGAGTGAGGCTCTAGGTGGGCTCACGAGTGTAGACCAGATTCAAATCCAAGTTGACATGAAAGGAAAAAGTCTCTTCACAAAAACTACCCACTGTTTATTCCATCAGTCTAGGTCTGGCCGCTGTTATGGTATCTCTGGGGTACGCCTGGTGACAAGTGCCCACTGATAGGGTTCTTGAGCCATACTTGGCTGTGCTTCCCCTACAGACTGTCCAGGGTGGCTCCCTGCCACTTGCTAGGGAACCTTGGGGTGGGGTCTCCTTTCCCTCTATTCTATTAGCAAATATATCATCTCCCCAACTGTCCCCTACAAGCCAGTGTCCTAGCTTGAGGGATTGTCAATATGCGACCCTCAAACAGACTTGAAAAATGCCAGCGTGACCACACAGCCAGCTTGCTGTTCTCAGGCCATCCCAGCTCCCACACCGGTCCAGAGGACGTGGCATTTCCTGAGCCCGAGTGGCATGCCCTCCTTGGCAAGCAGCACCTCAGGAGAAACCAGGGCACCTTTCATGGTGGTCCTTCCTGTCCATCCGGGTTTCTCAGACCTCTGCTCACAGCCCAGCACCTTCCTGGCAGCAAAGCCCACGCTGGCTCCCAGACAGCTCCAGAGACTTTGAACTCTGTGATCGGCTCTGTCCCCCTCCCCACTCATCTCCTGGCCAGTGGAGCACCCCAGGTTTTCTCCCTGCTCTCCCAGCTTCCTGGCCTTGTGCTGTTTTCCCAGTCCACTAGGCCTCCTGCTTCTCCTCCCCATCGCCAGGTTACACAACACCTCACAGAATCACACCGAAATTTTTCTTCACAGCAGTCCTCTCAGCCTGCAGTAGTCATGGAGCTTCTCTCACTGCTTCACAAAGCAACCTGCAAAGCAGGAATGGTGCAGGTTTCACAAAAGGGAGACCAGGCCAAGGGTGTCCTTCTGGAAGCTCTAGGAGGCTCCTCCTGTCCTGATGCTCGGGGGCCTTTTTCTCTGAAGGGCCCCCACTCTGTTAGGGTGGGGCTAGGTCCAGAGAGAGTGACACACCACCCTAAAGCCCTTCCAGTTTAGTGGAAATGAGGCAGGCTAAAGTTAGGAAAACTTCGGGACTCATAGAAAATAGATGACGTCATGTGGCATTTTAGACCACACTCACCTGGCCCCTCATGGATTATTGGAGGGAATCACCTTGCTCCTCCCTTCCCCTAAATTAGGGTAAGTTTTAAGAGCACCTGGAGGAGAGAAGCACTCTGCAGGTTCCACCTGGGTCCCCCCATACTCCCTTTGTAATTCCCTTCTCTAGCTCATATCCATGTGTCCCGCGTGGATATGTCCACGGAGGACACAAAGAATTTCGAAGTCTGATTGCAGACTGCACCGTTACTGTTACCAGAAACACCTGGATTCAGAACCCAGCTCTGCCTCCTCCCGAACCCCTGGGACCACGAGCTGCTCAGGGCCTGGCAGCACCTTGTAAAAGCAGGCGGCTTTGCTGAGCCTGGTTCTGTGGTTCGTGTGCTCATGACTCAGGGAAGTGGGCCTGGGCCGCGCATGAGTGCCCTGCCCAAGGCCTGCTGCAGGCTGGATAGCAGCTCCAGGCCCCACCATGGTGCTCACCATGGGCACCTTTTCCCTCTGGGCCGCCCACACCCCTCCATCCTCAGAAGTCATATGTCAGCCATGCCTGTGAGGAAATGGGAGAGGCTTTTTCAAAAACAGCTTTATTGAGCTACAGTGTAGCTACCATCAAGATCACTCATTTAAAGGGTGCATTCACAGAGTTGTGCAACCAGGACCACAGGCAATGTTACGTTTCCATCACCCCACAAGGAAACCACACACCTGTTAGAGAGAACTCCACCTCTCCCAGCTCTCTCTCTGGTCCGGGACAACCACCAGTCTACTTCCTGTCTCTGTGGATTTGCCTGTTCTGGACAGTTTGTGGGAATCGTGCAATATGTGACTTTCTTATTTTCATGTGGCATGTTCTCAAGGTCCAACCACGTGGTAATGTGTTTCTGTACTTCATTCCTTTTCATGGCTGCGTACTATTCCATGATATAGGGCCATAGGCAGAGAGCCATTCTGGGAGCTGTGGAGCGCATAGGCAGGGTGTGCTCTACTGCTTCTGGGCATTGCGTCTGCCTCTGCGCCTGGGTCATCATGTGACCTTCACGGAAGGGGACTGCATGCTGATGTGCTCTTCAGAGCTAAAGGACATGCCTTGGATAAGCATAAGGGGCCATGGAACCTGAGCTTTGTTCCTGACACCTCTCAGGCTCTCATCAGCACTGCAGTGACACCAGCCATAGCTGCAGGTGTGGCTCTCGGATTGCAAAAGTGGGTAGGATGTGTTTCCAGACATAAGAACGCCTGGCGCTTGAATTGACTGGAGGTAAAACACCAAGTCTTGATTTGTTCCTTTTGAAAATAAGAAATAGGGGACCATTGTTATAAATATTCCA